CCTATATGGAGGATTCAGAGGATATTTCTGATCCTGATTATGAAATTACTGATGAAGAGGATGCTAATCCCGTTTGGGATACACGTCCTGTTAAACCTACCAAGATTTAGGTAGATTATGCAGACTCAGGGACACCGATAGGATCTTGGACACTCAATGTGAACCCCTATTCGAACCTGACGACCTATGTCACCCAGTGGTCTCCTCAGACCATGTAGCCAAGTATATTGCATCCAGAGTACGCAAGTCTTCTGAGAAGGCAAAGTGAAATAAATTGTGGGCTGAATGGCCACGCCGAACAGTCCCAGATGACTCATGTAAAATGCTATCAGTCGATCCTAAGATCATTCAATTCCTGAGTAAGACAGGATGGAAGCCATCTAAAGGCTTAGATTTTCATTGCAAAACTGTCGGGATAAAATCCTGGGCATCTTGGGCTCAGCAGCCAAGATCTTTGAAGCAGTGGAGGATGATCTACAATTAGATTGCGCCATCTTCAGTGGTTAGATCCAGAAAGTGATTTAAGTTGGCAATGCCAACAATGCGGTTGTCACAGAACGCCACAAATCGATTTTGCTCAAGATTGAGCCCAAACGTTTAACTATGGCTCTGAACGAGCCAGATAACACAGGTAAAAGGTTTTCTCTTTGGGGACAACTTTGTAAAAGAATTGGGCTCCTTTGTCCGGCTAAACAAACAGAAGTTCTTTTAGACAGAACCAAGGCTCTTGTACTTGCCGAGCCGATTTCTTTGAACAATGCACTATACCAACCTCCTTCCCACAAAGTGGTCGACCCTGGATTGTTAGTGGCCTAAGAGGTGCTCCTAAGAAGTCTTCACAATTGCCATTCTTTCTTACTAATAGTGGGGTGCAGGCTCACACATTCTTCCCATGTATGATCCCTCACTTCATCAGATGCTTAGGTTCTTCACACTGTGAAAGGGTATTGCATAAACTTCCTTTCTCTACCTGTTCAATGTTCCCCACCATGGGAAATTTTTTTTTCCCAATGAGACGCAGACCTTGTCTCCATGGACAATCAATCGTAGAGATTCTGGCCCATACCCTGGATTACGTGAGCAACCTTTTCTTGTTTCCCAAAAAAGGCAAAGGTATCCGTCCAGTGATAACTTTGAGACTGCTCAATAGTTATGAGCATATCAGCACATCCAAGATGGAAGGAGAGCATTATTTAAGGGATCTTCTCCAACCAGCAGATTGGATGGCCAAATTGGATCTGCAGGATGCATATCTCACAGTGCCTATCCCAGTACAACATCAAGATCGAGAACTTCCTGCAATTTACATGGTAGGGCAGTAAATAGAGGTTCAGGTGCCTCCCATTCGGACTGTCTTCGCTCCATGGTGCTTCACCAAGCTCACATCTTATAATATATTTAGACGGCATTTTCATTCTGGCTCAGTCTATTCAATTAATCCGGACATACCTTGCATGGACTTTGACTCTGTTAGAGAACCTAGGCTTCCTGATCAATTGAGAGAAATCCATTATCGTTCCAATGCAACAAATGAAATTTCTGGGTTATATTGGATTATTGTAGATTCTACCCTTCAAACTCTACACCCTCCAGTGGCAAAATTAGCCAATATAAAGAAGATAGGCAAACACTAGCAACCTCTCAACTCTCTCTCAATCAACTTTTGAGAATGTTAGGCCTTCTAGCGGCATCTATACAGGCCATTTCTCCAGGTCTTCTTGGCTATCGAGCTCTACAATGATTACAAACTTCATCTCAAGGGCAGCGCATCATATACAGATATGGTAACTCTGGACTCAGAAGCGGAGGATGAACTCCAATGGTGGCTTCTTCACATGGAAGCTTGGAATAAGCGCACCATATTTTGTTCAGCTCCAGATTTGATAATCAAATCCGATGCACGTTTGCACGGTTGGGGTGCTCAATGCACAACTATTTCCACCAAGGGCAGATAATCAAACCTGGAATCGACACTCCACATCAATTGTTTGGAACATCTGGCCAGTTCCTTTGCAGTCCACAGTTTCTCCTCAACTCAAGCTCAATGCACTATCCTTCTGAAGATGGACAACGTGTCAGCAGTCCACTACATCAATCACTTGGAGGCACAAAATACAAATTTCTGACCTACATGCCTCGTGATTGTTGGCAATTTTGCCTGAGACACAGCATTTCAGTCACGGCAGAATATATTCAAGGTCTCTCCAACACTATGGCGGACTGGTATTCACGCCAACTCAGAGATTCCAGTGACTGGCACTTGGACTCCATGGTCTTCCAAGACATCTGATCTATTGGAAATAGATCTTTTCGCTTTTCGTTTGAATGCTCAACTTCCCCCTTTTTTCAGTTGGAGACCAGATCCGATAGAACTGGCTATGAATGTTTTCTCCAAGGAATTACGATTTTCTGCCCTTTGCACTGATTCCCTGTTGCCTTTCCATCTACATCGCCAGTCCGGCACCTGGTGATCGTGGCTCCTCTATCACCGTCCCAACCATAGTTCTCTTCTCTTCAGGAGATGGTTATCGACCTTCCATCTCTCGAGTGCCTTCTTCAGGATCCAGACGGTGTACCTCATCCCCTTGTTCTCCAAGGTCTCTTGCATCTCATAGTGTAGTCTATTTCAGGGAACCTTGGTCGCTCAAGGGAGTTTCGCAATCAACTTCCCAACTTATCAAGGGTGCACCCAACATGAGGCTTATAAATCTGCTTGGAGCAGATGGCATAGTTGGTGCATGAAATTAAATTTAAATCCCATATCAGCTCATTTTATGTCTGTCCTCCATTTTTCTGACTTCTATGATGAAGGTAAAGCCTATCACACTATCACACTGTGCACCTAACCGATTTCTGCTGGCCATCAAAGTTTCGATTGGACGCCTGTCGGTTGACATCCTGTCATTTATTGATTTCTCTGAGGAATATGGTTTGCTCATCCACCCTTACCACGATACTCTGTCTTGTGGGACGTCTCTATGGTCTTGAATTTTTTTCTTGCAAGAGGTTTTTCTGATGCACAAGCTTTTGAGGTGGTTGCTCGTTCCTTTACTCCAGAAGGTGTCCTCTTTGACATTTCACAGAGGACAAAAACCTCCTCCAAAATCAATTATACCCAGTTTTCCCTGATAGATCTCTCCTTTGCCCTGTTGCATACTAATGGGTGTGTGAACTTCATTCTACTACGTTACGGAATCTTTTGAAACAGGAACTCTTCATCTCCTTCCAAAAGTCACGTCTTCCGGTGTCTATTCTAGCCTGATGGGTCAAATATGTTATGTCTCTAGCAGGTATTGATACCTATGTGTCTGTGCCTCATTTGGTTCATTGGGAAATGGCTTCTAAGGCTTCCTCGATTGGTTGTCGCTTGGAGGATATTATGAGAGCGGCTGGTCTTCGGGGTCTACGTTCCATGATTTCTACTTTAGACCTATTCAACACTTCACAGGAGACATCATTTCACAGCTTTGAACTATCATAATAGGAGCCTCCGTGTTTTAATAAAATTTACAGATTTTACTATTAACATGACGTAAAGTCATGATTTTATTAATGACACGGAGGCGAGTATTATCCCTCCCTCCCATCCCCGGAGGTTTGGTCTTCTCTGGGTAAGTTGACGGTAAGTCTTTTTTGTTTACTGGGTTTTATCCTTGTTAATGACTGTCAAGAGCTTAAGGTTTGACTAAACTGAATTTCATGTTATGTATATATATATATATATATATATATATATATATATCTGATATTCCATGTAATGCGAATTTATGCATAAGTCCAGTTTTATACTTGGATATTACCATATTCTCCTTTCTCTTCCAGCTTGACTTCGAGATCCAGTTTAAGGCTTGTATACCCTCTAATTGGAGCCCACTTTTTATTTGGATTTGTTGTCCTTGTTCAGGATCGCAAGAAAGAGGAAGTAGTATACTGGACACTGCCTATTATGCTATAAAGAGGATGCTGATTGGCTGTTGCTGTTGCTAGGAAGATATACCTCATGTTATTTACTGGTTTCTTTTATACTGATTTAATGTTATTTTTCTTTGCCGCTGAGGTAAATAAAGAAAGAGTGCAGCATAATACTCGCCTCCGTGTCATTAATAAAATCATGACTTTACGTCATGTTAATAGTAAAATCTGTAAATTAATTTCCATGATATGGTTTCCTTAAGACATGTGCTTCTGGGAGTGACATCACAAGCCAGCCTACTTTAGGATTACACTGAATAAAAACCAGATGTAGAAGGGATTCAACCTCTTTGTCTCTTATGGACTGAGCAGAATGTAGACTACCACCAGCTGACTAGTTAGCTCCAGCCTCACAGACTAGGGTCTGTGTAAGTTTGTTGATGTTTTATATTGTACCATACGAGTCCATTGTTACATCTAGCATCTGCTATAGCCTTTTGTACGTAATATGTTGTAGTTTTGAATTGCATAATTATTGTAGTAAATTGACATTCTGCTACTTGCTATAATTATTATATTAAATATACATGTATTGTTCATTTTATATCCACATATTCGATCATAATACCAAGAACTATACAAATATTAATGTTGTTACTTATTGCTTAATTATTACGTATTAATTAAAAGATTAATATTCAGCTTTAAGCCACGGCCACAACAGGAGTCATCTTGGAGAAAGAACAAAGAGCTGCATTTGTGCTATCTGGAATACCCCCATTTTTTTCATATATGCCTACCACTTGTAAGTGCAATGTTTATCAGTGCCGAATTGTGTATTTTACTTCTATTACACCATTATGTGTTTTTCTAATATTGAATACAGGTGTATCCCTGTCAGGGTTTCTCTGCTGTTTTAAACAGCAACCCTTCCTCTCTCTGTGTCTGAGCTATTCAGCTGCTTTTTAACGATCAGCTCCTTCATTACCATTTTCACAGTTACTTACCTGGTTGTTAGTATCCAGCCCTAACAGTACAGGACATATTGCATATTGACCTGTACTGTACACACACATCACTCCTGTCACATCAATATTATACCATTTTATTTAAAATGTATGTAGGGTTTACGTAGCATTTTATTTACAGCTCACAAAAAAAGGCACAAGCCTGTCAAACATAAAAAAGCCACATATGTTCTTTTCCATTTGATTCACAATGCTGAGTCATGTACAAGTGCAATATACACAAGGTGCACAATGCAGCATAGTAACATTAAAACACTATATACTCATTATAAGCACTGCATCTCTGTCAGTTTCCAACAAACACATTTTTCTTATGTTCGGCTACATTTGACATTAAAATAATAACCATGATAAAAATTAATTCATTAACAGCTGTGAAAATGTTGTGTGAAGACATAGAGAGCCCACCTTCTAACATACCCCCTCTAATTGTGATAGTGCAAATGGAGATACACAGGGTCCAGACTGTTCACAGGATCCAGAAACTGCAACAATGTTTGCATATATTTGATGTTGTGGAAATGCATCATCATAGTCAATAGATGAGGACCCAATGAGGATAGTGTAGACAAGGATATATGAGCCTGATGAAGGTAGTGTATATGTGGGCCTGATGAGGGCGGTATATATGTGGGCCCTATGAGGGTAGTGTATGTGTGGACATGATGCAGGCAGTGTATATGTAGGCCTTATGAAGGTAGTGTATATGTGGACATTATCAGGGCAGTGTATATGTGACCCTGATGAGGCTAGTGTATATGCAAGCCTGATGAGGCTAGTGTATATGTGAGCCTGATGAGGGCTGATTATATGTGAGCCTGATGAGGTTAGTACATATGTGAGCCTGATAAGGGCTGAGTATGAGTGAGCACGATGAGGGTAGTGTATGTGTGACCCTGATGAGGGTAGTGTTTATGTCAGCCTGATGAGAGTAGTGTATATGTGGACTTTATGAGGACTGGGTATGATGAGGGCTGAGTATACGTAAGCCTGTTAAGGGCTGAATATGTGTGAGCCTGATGATGGTAGTTTATGTGTAACCCTGATAAGGGCTTGTGGGAGCCTTGTCCTTTTAAGTCACTATTTAAAAAAAAAAAAAAAAAACCTTTATATTTCTTGGTTGTACACAACTAAGCCTCCACCAATTCTTACTCTGAACACTGTGGTGACTGTTCTATACTCAGTCCTGGTTCCACTGTAAGGATTACTGTACCATTCTTTGCCTCCTAATTACATCCTGTGTGATGGTTATGTTTAGTCCCATGATTGTTGCTGTAATTGACAATGCCTACAGTATAACAGTTGTCTACATATTCTCAATACTTATAACACATGGAGTCATGAAATGATGCTTTTCTTTAATGCATGTTGATCTCGCTTTCAAGGGTTATTATGAAAGCTATGTTTCAGTAGCCGTTGGCTCTCACCATCTCTCCCATTCATAAATTGATATTTATTTTTCTCACATCCCAAGAAAAGTTCATCTATATCTACTTTCCAAGCACTTTTTACATACTGCTACATAGACATCAATTATTTACACTATGTATGTCTAATAGCTATTCTACATCTCTCTGTACAGACTGCTTCACACTAACTACGTACCGTGAACTATATATTCTGCTAACACTATGCCTCAAAAAAACGTATTATATAAAATGCTTTAAAGAATATATATATATATATATATATATATATTCTTATTGTGTTTCATACATATTTACATTACATTCAATTAGTACTCAAATTATACAATATATCTTGGCTTAGTTACATCATGTGATGTCATGTACCCTACATCACAGGAGAGCCCGCATCACATAACGGTATACTCATCAAACATCCTCCATGGTTCCGATACTTCTCCTTATTCATATTTCTGCAAGTACTGGATCTTTATCTAGGCACTCTTAAGGAGCGTTTCTTCTAGTAATATATGCACTAAGCCAAGAATAACATATTAACTATCAATAATATTACATACATAGTAATGCAACCCATAAAGGATTATACTTGTTTGATTTGCTGTGAATGTATTACCTATGCATATCATTTCTAGAATCCACCTTCTGTCCACAGTTTTATTTCTTGAATTCTCTTAGTTCTTAATATGTAAGTCTTTGTTCCTCCAACTCTATCACTTGTTTTCCCTTTCCTCCCCATCTTCCGCTATGTCCTCCTTGTGTTATGAAAAATGTTTCCTTATTATACATAATCCATGGTGACATCTTCTCAAGCATACTTAAGTACACTCCGCACCCCTTTTTGCTCTTCTGCCTGCACACCCAGTGGCACTGGCTGCCACCTTTATATCACACACTATGCCTCCGATTATTAATCATGGTCATTATGTGAGTCAGGTCCAAGCTTTTCATCATAACATCCATAAATTCTTCATCCTTCCGAGCACCCTCAACAAACTCTTCCAGTGACAGCTCCCCTGATGAAGACAGAGAAGTACAGAGAGTAATATAATTAAATAGACATTCCCTTCTTATGAAAGTGAGACGTATCTTTCTAACTCGAAAGCAATCACGTTTGATAAAACTCACTATGAAATGGAGAAAAGCCAAATACAGGGAGAGAGTTTACTATATAAGAATGACAATGAAATAAATCATTGTGAAAGAAAAATGTTTAAGTTATGGCTTCCTTAGGTCGATAATGAATTGAAAGTAAGTATGCATTAAGCAGAAACATTGTGTTTACACCTTGTGAATGGTAATAGACTGGAAATTATCTATTGTTTTAAAGAATGTTACAATATGAGCTATTTAGAAAGAAAGTATACTAAAGTACATGAATTATGCTGGATCAAAGAACCCCTGTTTTCCCACTTTGCTTGAATTGATAATAGTTAATGCAATAAGACTAGCCCTTACCATCTCCATTGATATCAATTTTGTCAAACACACGATTGGTGAATTCTTCAGGAGTAGTATCATGATCACATCCATTGATTGCACGTACTGCCTGAAAAAGAAGTATAGTATAGTATCATTATATAGCAATACATATTTTTTGATACACAGGTTATGCCTCATAGAAATATCCTCCATATAGCTGGTTAATGTGTAGTGCTGATAATATATAACAGAGGACAGTAATTGGCATCTTAGGCAGAGTTCTTACTCCAGAACTTCATTTATAAATGTAGCGGAGATGTAATACTAAAATCCAAAATTTCTGCTGGGATTCTCTAAAGCTGGAAAGGAAGCACTGTTTAGGAGATATAGCCCATTCCCCCCGTAACTGGATGACACACAGTTCTGGGAGTCAACTGAGGTTTATTTGATCACACGTGGCTTTTACGCACAGACCCTTACATGGGGTCTCCAACACAATACAACAGGGGTTTAAATCCCAAGATCCTGATGGGAGATTGAGGAGGGACAAAGCAGATAGTTTAAACTGGTCTGACAGTGTCCCTGGGACAACGCCCTGCTGGGGAAACAGTAGTACAGGAAAAAAGTGGGGGGGAGGCACAGACAAGCAATACATTTAACATACTCTGCACCAATAATAGGCACTGGGTGACCAAAATACAGAAACAATTCAGGGAAAATATACAAATAAGTGTTAGTTCAGCCACAATAAAAAATATTGGTGGGGCCTCCCTACAAAGAATTGGATCTTTATCTTCCTGAAGCACCATCAGAAGGAGCAATTAACAAAGTGAACATCTTAGACCAAAGAATAGAGCATGGAATAGAAATTCTGCAATAATATTCCTGAAATATTGCAGTTATGTGTGGGATACAGTTCATTGCAAAAAATTTTTTTTTTTTTTTTTTTAATGCTTAGCAACAGGTTTGTTAATTTTATTTATCAATAGAACTAAAAGAACTCCAGACTTCATTGCAAAAAATGTTGACTAATCAGACCTCTGGGAGTTAAATTAATTTTGCTTATTTAATGAAGTACACAATTTTATAGATTTCAAATTTGTCAGACAGGTAATTTTATGCTTCATGTTGAACCACTTGATTGAGTATTGATGAATATATGTTGCAGAATTCAAACATTTAGAGCAGACCAAACATTGGTAGATTCTAGGATATTATAAAAGTAGAACTATCATGATATTGTGCCAACCTTTACAAATGCAAGTCGTTATGGAAGTTGTAGATCTACAAAATTGATACATTGATCCAGACAATTCCATCTTACTACTGCTATTATGGTGCATCTAAAATTTTATGTGGTTACAAGGAGAAAGAATAACCAATACTATTATACGTGTACCTCTGGTGGTTTTGTCCCTTGCACAATGTGGCACTGTGGGATCACATGACATGATATTCCAGTTATCAGATAAATCCCTTTAATGACTGCTAAACCAATCGTGTACTTAACATTATATCCTATTGACCTTAGCATTTTTCTAAGGGCTTATCATCTTGTGAGTAGTCTTTTATGTGTCCTTAGACTATTTATGTGAAGCTCTCTTTAATGCAGTCTCAAGTACATGTTCAAAGTTTTGGTGAATCAACACATATCTGCAAGGCACTTTAATGATGTGTCAAAATGTATCTCATGGTAGGCTTAACAAATAGAGAATATTCTGTGTCCTCCCTGAGTCAAAATTTCAAGCCAATACATTTGCATTTATCATAACAAGTAAATATAACTGTGCTCCGGAGCATATTGCACTATTTAATATGTCCATTATTCAAAGACAATTGCTATATGATGAATGTGACATATGTGAATATTGTTTATGTTAGTGGTTACCAGTCCAGTATGTCTATTTTGTTGCACTGATATACAAACCATTTGTCATAGAAGGACAAATGGTTTGCATTTAGTGAAATTAAGAAAAAGCTCTTGGCTAGAATATTATGAATAAATGAAAAAGAAAATGAATCAACTTGGGGAGAGGGCTGTGTTACAACCATTAAAGTGTGTCTGTACCTCCTTTATCTTTCCAATATTTGCTTTATGAGTAACTGCTGTATGGGTTCTGCTGTATGGATCTATAACATCTATGAAAAAAAATACGCTAATCTTTTAACTTTTTTTTTCTCTAATAAAGCATTGGATTTTACAAGTCCGGAATAAAGCCTCCTTCATTAACATAGTATACATTTTGGAGTCCAGGCTTTTGGCACCTGGCGATTTAAGCGACTTTTGAGCTTGTGTGCAGGGATTTGCAAGTATATATATATATATGTGTGTATAGGTGAACGCTTGGCACTCACCTCCAAAAAAATATAAATTTTTAACTCACATGCCTGGGTACAAATTGTTGGCGTCAAATATATAAACAAAAATAAAAATCAAAATGCACTCACAGGTCTTCTGGTTAATAGGAAAACTGGTGCTTTAATAAATCATCTGTGATGTACAAAAAAATCAATCGACGTTTCGACCCTGCCGGGTCTTTTTCAAGAACTCAAGATCTTGAAAAAGACCCGGCAGGGTCGAAACGTCGATTGATTTTTTTGTACATCACAGATGATTTATTAAAGCACCAGTTTTCCTATTAACCAGAAGACCTGTGAGTGCATTTTGATTTTTATTTTTGTTTATATGTGTGTATATATATATTTGTATGTGTGTGTGTATATATATATATATATATATATATATATATATATATATTTGTATATGTATATATATTTGTATATATATCTTTTTATATATATATATATATATGTGTGTGTGTAAAATAGGATGCACTCGCAGGTCTTGAGTTAAAGGTGACTTTTGTATTTATCTTGAAAAAGGTCTTGAAAAAGACCCTTAGAGGGTCAAAACGTTGGTTATTTTGTACAAAGAAATGATAAATTATTTATTGAATTTTTTTCAATAAATAAACCTTTAACCTAAGACCTTTGAGTGCATCCTATTTTTTCATTTTATGCTACATATTTCAACAAGGGATATTTGCACCCAGGCAAGCAGTACTTTATATCTATATGTTGGTGGAGTGCCAGCAGACATCTATTGAATATATTGTCAGAAAATAATTAAATGACATTTTTGCCGACTGTCAAAGTGGATTTGATATAATATTAATAATGCAAATATATCTTGCAAAGCCAATTATAGAATCCACACTGTTGCATTGTCTAATAAGATATCAAACTACTTATTTTGTAAAACAACATATTACATGGCATGTTCATGGTGATACTATTTAACAAATCTGTATTGTGTGCTGTAATTTGTAACTCTTAAGCCTATTACGCCTCTATAGTAATAGTCAAAGAAGAACTGTATTTTGTATTTGTATACCTGTAATAAATTAGTAGGTTATTGGGTCACAGCTTGATTAACTTCCCCCTCCCCTCATTACCACCCTCCATCTTTCAGCAGATTAACTTGCTCTTATTGGGAACAGACTAATCATAACTGCTTCTAAATCCTGTTAAAGCGGCAGGGCAGCTCAATAGTCACCTTGAAAGTGCTATTTGCTGATGCATATGATCTAACATCTGGGTATTAGGTTATGATTAATGGTATGCACAGGAATGTCTGTATTTCCTGGCTGTTTAATTAAACCAGTGTGTCTGAGGGAATTAACTTTAAAAGAATGCCACCCAGACAGAGCACATGAATTCTTGTAAATAGAAATGCTCTGATAAAAAAAGCATTCAGATCTGAACAAGGATGGCAACCATTACTGAAAGCTAAGTAGGCGACACAGCAAGGCAGTTCTTGGAACATCTCTTTAAATATAAGGTCCCAGGGCTGTTAGTAAGTCCTCTGCACGGAAGCTAAGTTTGATGCCCACCATTTCTTATTATTTTTATTATTGCATAATGAAAGTACAGGTAACTTTTCATTATGTTTTTAGAGAAAAAAAAATCTCTTATGACAAATAGTCAAACTATTAGACAATGACAGACACAGACACTCTGACAAACACTCTCAATTCTGCAAATGGTGTTTTATGCAATCTCACACTTGAAGACTACTCTTGAAAACCTATAAATTGTCTTGGATGCATTCAAAATCTGTCAAATAGTTTCAAAAAAACATACATTCATAAACAACACTTACAGACACACTGTCAGAAACACAGACACATACACACATACTGGAAAATATCTCAGACATACAGTAATGCTTTGCATATAAAATTTTGTAGTGAGCGCTCGCCTTAATAAGGGTAGTGGTACGATAAGAAGAAATTGGGTACCAAATGGGAAAATCTGTTCCACCACCAGATTCATGCATACCAAAGCACACAAGATTTTATTAAGTGGAAATTTGATAAGAAATAGTACAAGTAAAGTGCAAACAGTATATGATGCATACAAATAAAGAATAACATACCTATTATACATATCAAATTCAAAGATAAGTGCTCAATGAAATAACCCACATACCCACAATAAAATAGGCTTACCAACCCAGAGCAGGAGATACAGCAACCCCTGCTGCACTTTACTCATACTATTTCTATCAAATTTCTACTTAATAAAATCTTTTTTATGTGCAAGATTAACTTGGTGTGCTTTGGGTTTTTCAACAATGTATACATAATGCTTTGACACACACTCTTACAGTCACCAGGCTATAAAAGAAACATACTAACTATAAAAACAGAAAATATCTATTTTTATCTCAATAAAAATTATGTAAAAGAAAAACTATATATATTTTAAGTATCTTAGTAGCTTTTGATTACTACCCCCGATGTTGAAGAATAACCAAAAAATTTAAAAAGCAATAAAGCATGTCTGTATTTCAGCACCATTTGCATCACGTAGAGATGGAGAAAGTGAAACCAGGACAAAGTAGCTTTACTAGCCTATCTGTTTGACAGCACTACAGGTGTATTTTGGCAAATCTCAGTTTACCAGGTTTATCCTTGGTAGTTTACTTTTTTGGTTCTGTGTTTCTGCACTTTAAAGTTATACAATGGTTTCAACATGGCAGATGTTGAAATGACATCACATTCCTGCATTCACTATCTTTAAATCATTGAAAATGCCACAGAGATTTAAGGGAATGAACAAGCAAATGCTAATTTCTTAGCTCCTTTGGCCTTCTAGGCAGCTGCTCAGCAGTAATGCTTTAAAATGATCACTAGGATTGTCACTGGTAGATTTGCGCTGTCATTTGGATGGTTCTGAGTGGGGAAGCAGTGATGGCACCACCTTCCTAAAGTGAACATTGTAGTTGACATAAGTTCTGGAGTGTGGCAGGGTTTGACAGTTGTAGCGCAGCACAGTAGTAGTACTTTGCCATTGTCATTGGGACCTCTGCATTAACATGATGATACTAGTATTTATATATTATAAGAAGCATGTCTTAATGTTTGGTTAAGAAAAGAAAAACTTTGGACTGCATACTTCATATGTACGTTATTATCATTTTATCAAATATATGCCCTGATGACTGTGTTAAATTTTGATGATTTATCTAGTTTAATACTCTGTGTTTGATATATATGTCCTGAAGTTTTATTTATATATAGCCCTCAACCTACATAAGAGCTTAACTTTGCAGACTCCCTTTGCCACGGTCAACAGAAAGGATAGTAAACTCATGAACTCAATTCATTAATTTGGATAAATTTTCCCTGATTAATCTCCAGAGTTTTGCTCCCACCGTAACCTCTGGATACTGAAATGGATAGAATGAATCTACAAAGAAAAGGATGGTATAAAACTGGCATGGATTGTTTTCTCCTTGGTTTGTGAGGCCACTGGACTTCTGAAGGCCCTCCATCAATTCTCAGAATAGCTTATGGAAACGAGCCAAGCTAATAAAGGGCAGGTTTAATATAAGAACCAAGCTTAAAGTATTTAAGACTATTTACTCAGGAAATACCTGAGTGAGAATTAGAGTTATTTAATGCTAATGGTTGATGTGTAAAAGGAGCACAATGCACAAACATGGCATAAATTATTTATATGCAGAGCCCATGCAACACAGCAGGATGAAAACACCGGCATCTGAGTCTTTAGATAGTAGATAAAAGGAGAGAAAAAGTGCTTTTGTTATGCACCTGACATCCATTTAATCTGGTCTACCGAAATACTAGCACTTTTCTAGTTGGCCACCAGAGCCAAGACTAATCGGGTGATATATTCAGTCAGCCATTGGTGTGATCACATGAGAGCAGACCTGCTCTCATAGATTCTGAAAAGTGCTGATTGGATGCGTGAAGGGTCCATTGGTGGAGGTTGCAGGGCTTCTCCTTGTTTGTTTTATCAAAAGGTTATCCACACTTGTTGTCAGTTGCAAGCACATTGAAGACAATGACTGCACATCTGTGCTGAGAGAAACAGAGCCCGCTCACCTCCCATGCCACTAAAACACCAAGAGAACTGAGATTTGGGATAATATATTAAATGAAGACTGCAGGGGGGTGATATAAAGGGAAAATTATGAATAGAATAAGTGCAGAGAGATAGATGAAGGAGAAAATAAAAAATACATGACGTGGAATTGGAAATGAAGAGGGGATATGTGGTTTAAGGGGAAAATTAATAGGGGAATATGAACAGGATGAGCTAAAAGGGAAAGATTGAAAGGGAAAGAGAAACGACTGGGTTTGGTTCAAGAACTTATACTGAGTCAAGGGTCAGAAATTAGGCTATGGTAGGAAGAATTCAAACTGGGTTTTGATAGAAAACTAAGGCTTCACTAAGGTTGGTGAAGTGGTGGGTTAGAAAATTGAGCTGGGTTGGTTTATAAGACTGTGGGATTTACTTAACTTCTTAGACCCTTAAGGACCAAACTTCTGGAATAGAAGGGAATCATGACATGTCGCACATGACATGTGTCCTTAAGGGGTTAAAGGACCAATGCCTTCTCAAAACTATTTTTCAATATAATGACCCTTTCATCAAGTTTTGAAACAAAATAGATTTTAAAAAATGAAGCATTTGTAAAAGAAAAAAAGATGAAACACTCATCCCTACATGACAGGATCCTTCAGCTGTATACAAGCACCTTGGGTCAAACAGTGTTCGAAAAAAAAAGGACAGTCAGCCTCTATGGTCTTTCCTGATTTAATCCCTACACATGAGCAGGAAAGTCTTCTCTAGTATTTTCTCTTTTACCTCTCACCACTCCCACCCAAACACTTTTAAAAAAGGAAAATAAATTAACCCTTTATCACGGTGTTATGCAAAGGTGAAAAGGGTTCCCGGATAAGTCGGAATAATAGTAAGAGATTTTTGATGTAAGCAAAGGCACTTCTCTCAAAACCCCCAAAAACTCCAAATGTCACTGACCACCTTTTAAAGAAAATAACCCTTTATTAATGTTTATTTGGTGCTGAGGGAGCACTGACATCTATGTTTCTACACTAGGTTTTGTTGATGTATTCTTAATCGATTATACAGCTGTATCCCTATTTTTTCTGCACATATATTTAGAACTGACATCTGTCTGACCCTAAAAGCAACTGCAATATTTGCACAGTTAAATAGGTAACACTGCAAAAAAAGTGGTATATTTCACTGCTGTGGGGGCAATTAACCACATGCCCCATGCAACTTTGCGAGATTTAACTCATAATCCAAAGCTTTAGCCAAAGATCAGAATAAAAGAAACCTGATTGGTGCTGCTGTACAACCGATACAGAGCTCTGAAAAAACAGTTTGCTCTAAAAAAAGAAAAATTTAAAAAAGTAAGTAGAATACTAAAGAGTTAATCCTTTGTATTAATTAAGACTCCTTGCACAATTAATTCCTTTGTTTTTTATGGGTTCTGTGAGTGCAGCATATGACAAACAATGGAACAAGTATTTCTGTTTGTTATATATTTTGTTGCACGATTTATACACACAGTGTAAATAATTATTTGGAGTTCTCAACTTTGATTTATACTGTCTTGATTTTTGTGTCTCCATTTGGATTATGTTTGTATTCTGCAATCAAAACTTGTTTAGAATTAGCCTATGAGATATTGTTGTGTTACCATTACTCAGTTCCTTGAATTGTGAATTATCTAGTACTAAGTCCTAAATATTTTCATTGCCCATATTCATCATTCTCTGTTTAACCGGACATTCCTGAAATAGAGACGTGTTTGAAAGTCCAAGGTGTTCCTCTATACATCTCAGACTGCAGTTAGGGCTGGACCGTTGGGTAGCAGTGTTTGCCAGCTCTGTTTGCTCTATCCAGCCTCATTACAAAAGTTTTAGAATTCTGCATTTTCTGGTCAGTTATGAGTTTGGCCAGTGCACTTGCATGGAAACGTCTAGCTGTGGGTCTGAGAGTAACTGATTCTTCCATGGGAGAAGATTACTTAACCAGTGGCCCTGGGTATGCCAAGTTTTAGACTTTGCGATGGAAAACAACAAACACTAGAATCACAAACAAGCTTAAATTTAATTGAGATTTAATCTTGGTATTTTGTGCTTTTCCTTCCATATGTAAATTAAAATATCCAGCAGTTTTTTCATTGTGGGGTTTACAATGCCAAAATGAAAGCTTTCCAAACAAGGGTTCGAATAACAGCATTAATAACAAAATAATAATGTATTAATAATATTTATTAAAATACAATTATAGCTGATTTTTGATTGTTTAGATTGTTTAGAGTTTAGATACAGTGCAACATCGGACACATCACTAAAATACTAAGATAATATGTCTAATAGATTTATTCAATATACCGGTAAGCATATAGCACATACAGGTTGGCAGCATTGTGATGGTCACATAATCAGACTTAACAAGTTTCTACGTATATAATAAGAAGATTGTTCACATTCCATGACACATGTTAATGCTTAAGAAGTTTCATGTAGACTGAAATGTAGCCTTATTGGTTGGCGGTTCATTAAGGATATATTTTCATAGAAAAAGAGGGTTGGGCCTTTTGCTTCTATATACAAAGCAATTGAGTCAATACAATGGTATCTTGTATACACTGGTGAGACCTCACTTTGTGTATTGTACGCAGTACTGGAGACCGTATCTCCTGAAGGATATTGATAATTTATAAAGAGTTCAGAGAAGGGCTACTAAACTGGTTCATGGATTGCAGGATAAAACTTACCAGGAAAGATTAAAGGAACTTCACATGTATAGCTTGGAGGAAAGACGAGACAGGGGGGATATGATAGAAACATTTAACTACGTAAAGGGAATCAATACAGTAAAGGAGGAGACTATATTTAAAATAAGAAAAACTACCACAACAAGAGGACATATTCTTAAATTAGAGGGCAAAGGTTTAAAAATAATATCAGGAAGTATTACTTTACTGAGAGGGTAGTGGATGCATGGAATAGCATTCCAGCTGAAGTGGTAGAGGTTAACACAGTAAAGGAATTTAAGCATGTGTGGGATAAACATAAGGCTATCCTAGCTATAAGATAAGGCTAGGGACTAATGAAAGTATTTCAAAAATTGGGCAGACTAGATGGGCCGAATGGTTCTTATCTGAAGTCACATTCTATGTTTCTATGTTTCTATGTTTCTATATTGTGTGTTAAATTGGGGAGGAGGGGCAGTGTATTAAATTGAAGGAGGGAGAGGGCAGTGTATTAATTTGGGGGATGGAGGAGGCCAATGTATTAAATTGGGGAAGGAAGTGGGCACTGTGTTAATTTGAGGGAGAGGGCAGTGTATTAATTTGGGCAAGGGAGAGGATCACTGTATTACATTGGGGGAGGGAGTGGAGCAGTGTATTAATGGTTCTTATCTGCTGTCACATTCTATGTTTCTATAATTCATTTAATAATGCAGATGATTAAATTTATTCACCGAATTTGAAAAGTAACTTTACATTAACATTTGGGTCCGAATTCCTTGGTATCCTTTATTCTAAATGCTCTGCACTTGCTTTGAAATAGATCTTAAAATATTCAATTCTCACCTTGATGATATTCAGCAATTCATGACGGTCAATACATCCATTCCCATCCACATCATAAAGCTTGAAATACCAGCGCAGCTTTTGTTCGATCTTTCCACGGAGGACCAGACTGAGAGCAGCAACATATTCCATGAAATCAATGTACCCATCCTGTGTGACACAGAGACACATTAATCAGAACACGGTGGTCCAAAAGCAAAAGACAGTGACACATGGTTATATAAGTAAATGCTTTTGCTCTAGGACTATCCTTGGAACTGTTATACACCTGCCAATGTCTATGGGGATATGTGACAGATGTGATAAAGGCAAAGCCAAGCTATATGTTGTTATTCTATCACATAATCAAATACTACATGTCTGATTGAACATAAACATGTTTAGTTTCAGGTTTTGCTTATCTGTGTGTCTGTCTAACTATTCTCTCATTTCTCCTTCTCTCAATGATGCCACAGACGGTGTCATAAGGACATTCTGTTACCCATAAACTGAAACTGGAAGAAAACTATGTAACTATGTAAAACCTGCTACTGTCAAATGTCAGGGCAAATCCATAGGTTGCTTTGGCAAAAGAGAAATTGGTCTGCTATGTCTATATACCAACCTGCCACCAATTTATTCCTCCACAATGCCTTGTGAATGCCTTCCACAATCTTGTTTGATATATACATATATGAGTGTGTATTCCAAACATGATAAAACTCCCCACAGTGCAAACAGAACATATATTGCATCATCTACATAGCTCATGTTGGCCTTTTTGTCCATAACCCTTACTTTTCTTTAAAAAGAAAAACTGTAAATGGTGTCCATTGCTAAGGGTATCTGCAGAAATGCAATATAAATTCTGAAACACAATGCCTGTCCAAGTTCATGTATAGCTGGCAACTCTGGGATAGTTGTAGAGATATGATTTTTTTTAAAGTTCCTGTGTCCAAGGAGGACTTTTCAAACTCCAACTTGAGATCCAAAGGTGATGCATAACAGCAATATATATATATATATATATATATATATATATATATAAATCCAAAATAGAATGGCTGCTCACCGGTCTTAAAATGTAAATACTTTATTAAATAAGATTTAAAAACGACCAGTGTTTCAGTCTCCGATTGGGAATTTCCTCAGGGTCAACAACAGGACAACTTGTTTTTATATGTATATATATATTTGGGGATGGAAATATAATGCTAGAGCAGGACCATCCAAGAATGGGGTACATTGACGTTGTGGTAGGCAATGTATGATCATATACTGTAACTAAACCCTTATAATTTTTTGGTGAGGTGTTTTTAAATAAAACTATTGCATTCTGTGAGACTTGCAATTGCTGTTTAGTGAATGAGTGAGTGCGCTGAATTTTGTATGTAGTATGAATTGGCCCCGGCGGCACCCTAATAAGTATGCATGTTCAAGTGAGTGAAACACTTCTGGTTTTATATTATTATATTTCTATTGATCGATCGGTCGGTCGATCGATAGATAGATATTATGATGTGTTCATACCTACGAAATTCATTTGAATGACACATTTCTTATTTAGCACACAGGCAAATTAGAATGCAGAGATTCTCCACATTTGAATCTCAAAACTGTGCTGAAATTATCATTGTACATATATATTCAACAAAACGTTGGTCACTGAGCTATATTTTCAACTGACGATTTCTAGTTTTGGACTATAATTGTTAGGATTTTTATTTAAGCCAGCATCCTGTCAGATAACAGACCTAGAGACTGTAAGTGTACTGGTAAATAGTTAGAAGGTATATCTTGTTACTTGGAATACAGATCCTGGGGTTTAATAGCCTACAATGAGATATATATCTTCCAACCACAACTACTGCAGTATGGTCTGGGAAAATTTAAATATTTGTATATTCACTACAGCTCTACACTTGAAGAGGTGATTTAAGTTAATTTTCCTTTCATATGCTTAGTTATTTGTAAGGCCATAGGTATAATCCACAGGTTGTAACCCAAAACATACATGTATCCCACAGTCACATTTGTGTTCAGGATCTTGCAATCTCTCCACAAATTCAGACATTATCTCTTAATTTTTTATAAATTATAATACATTCTGTATATATTAGTTTATCTCTTCATGGGTGTATTATTTACAATGCGTATCATTTCAGCTTATTGTTAAGTAAATATAGGGTCTGTTTAACTGCATGAGCCACTCAAAGATAATTTCAGAACATAACTTTACTTGTAACACCTCTTCCATTTTTCTCATAGCTAAATATTGGTACCCACTAGTTTATCTCAGCCATCAATCATGCAACATGACAAAAAAAAGCTATTTATAACATAAATAACATTCTCATAGCTCAACCAATGAGATATGTGAAATGGCCCTTTATTTATATAACTACAAAAAGTAAAAACAAAATACGCTATAAAGCCACAACATAGTAATTAAATTCTCTTTACATTTTTCTTTTGTCAATCTACAGTTCATGTTTTAATTTGACCACAGGAGGACTAATATCGAAGGTGTGTTGTTTGCTATTATATTTTATTTCAGCAAATTAATGTATTTCTGTCTTAGGGCTGTCGCTGATTTAGAATTTGCAATTTGTTTTGGAATTTTGTAAAAAAAAAAAAATGTGCTGTTTAGCTTTCTAGAAATGCATGTATCTGCACCCTCCATGGTTTAGATTTGTAGATAGAAAAGTGTGTAGGCACTCCGTCATCTAGATTTCTAGATATAAATGTGTCTACACATGCACATGCCCAGGCACTCCATGATTTAGCTCTTTAGATGAACATGTGTATATGCATGTGTCTAAACACTTTTTAGTATATATAATGTACATATTTAGACACTATTATATTTAGATTTCTAGATGTACATATAATTAGTTCCCTCGTGATGTAGATTTTCAGATATGTTTCTAGGCACTCTGTGGATTAGATTTCTAGATTTACTTGTATCTAGGTACTCCATAGTTTAGCTGGTAGCCTATGACTATCTTGTTAACGGGCACCAAATTTTAGCTGTGTACAGAAGGATATATACTGCCTTGTATGATATTTTCAATCCCCTGGGAAAGATTGTTATCCAGCATTCGGTGTTTATAATTTGTTCTCTTACCTTGTTCATGTCAAAGGTGCGGAACATTTGTTCTATGTAGCTGTTGGCATCTCCACTTAGCCCACGTAGGCCAAAAAACTGTTTGAACTCATGCAGTGTGAGCTGACCAGAGGGACATTCTATCATGAACTTCTTGTACCAGTGGTGGATTTCCACTGCCTGCAGGTCATCCACAGTTGAGCTGCTTGTATTACCCATCACTTGATTCTTCTTTCCAAGGTCGAAAATATCTCCCTGAATACAGAAGTATCTTATAATTTGTAAAGGCTGTTTTCAAGTCTGCAGGTTAAGGCTGTGAATCTTTGTTGTCCAGTTACTCCAAAGATATCTTCTCCTGTGATAGTCTTTTTCTACCTTATAAGATCTTTCAATCCTTTTCCTAAATTAGCAGACAAGGCTTTGCTCTCTCTTAATAAGATTTACTTTGAATTTAAAGGATACAAAAAAATAACAAATTCTTGTCTCCTTTATTTTTTCACCTATGTAAGGGAAACTGTGTATGCTGGGGTCTCTCCGTTAATGGCAGTCCCCTCAGCACAGATTCCTTCTTACACCTGCTCCTGCTCAGTGCTAAGTGCCTTTTAAAGTGACCCCTGAGTTTTCTGGCAATCACAGGGTGTGTAATCTGTTCTGATGCTTCCTTAAGTAGGACACTATTAATGTCTAGGGACAGTTGAGTGCCAAGGTTAATCTGGGACTTGGGGGATTATGCGTATCATATCAAGGTGTCTTACTGTGCTTGTTTATCTCTCACTCCCATAAAAACAGGTTTCATAATCAAAAAACATAACTGGGCCATTACTGGATATTGCAGGGTCACATACTAGCAGTCTTGGGCACTAGAAGCCCCTTAAACCATTTTTGTTTTTTCTGTTTCCATGATTGTGTTTGTTAGATCTGTTACTGGGAGAAGGTAAACATCTGTGTTATGCTTATCCATAAGATAACTTTATATTTTTCCTTTACCCTGGTGTATTTGCACCTTTATAAATTTTGTTTTATGTCATTGTAATACTTATAAAGAAGAAATGAAAAAAAAACTGAGTGAGTTATTGATCTTTTTTCCGCAAATCCAAATTCTAACGGAGTTTTTAAAAAGAAAACACTTGGACCAATATTAAATAATTGGTGCCATGTTAATTAGTTTGCGGTAATAAAAGGATTCAACCTTATATCAGAACAGAGCTAGTTTCCTGGAGTTTTTTCAATCAGGCACATTAATTTGTTGTTTTTACCCTGTTTTGTTTTAGTGTATGTTGTTGTTGTTACATCTGTGGAAATTGATGTTCAGCATTTGATGTTTCTATGCAAAGTATTTAAAAGAATAGGTCATCTACAGCATGATTTGTCCTTTTACGAGTTTAAAAATCTGAAGACTAAGACTTATGAATCACTTTACATCTGAATTAATGCTGCCACAATCAAATCCAACTCCTAATAGGTCAAAACAAAGAACAAAAAGAGAACCAAGGATAGTACTATAAACCAGAAATAACACACAATTCCCCAGTGATATACAAAAAAATTACATACCACATATAAAGAGAGTTTTCAGCTTCAGAGAGACCAAAGTGAACTATTAAATAAATATAATTACATGAAAAAAAAGAAAATGAAAACAAATGCAAATTAAAGTGTAAAAATGTTGATAAGAGGATATGCAGAATTTAAAAAAAAATCACACTATCTAACCGTAGCTCCAACAACCATACATCAGCTCGAGAAAGGGAGTAGATGTACCACAGGTACAAAAAAAAAAAAAGGTATTCAATATCTACACCTCTCAATGCCAAATTCATTATGAATTTAAAAAAATGTCAAAGCATGAAAACCCACTATAAATCGTAAAGGGACACTATAGTCACCACAACAATTACAGCATAAAGGGATTTTCTGCTGATGATACCAAAATTTGCAACAGGGTTGATGTTCCAGGAGGGATAAGCCAATGGCAAATGATTTACATAAATTAGAAAACTGGTCAGAGCTGTGGCAACTGACATTTAATGTGGATAAGTGCAAGGTAATGCATCTTGGCTGTAAAAACCCAAGGGCAAAGTACAAAATATTTGATACCCTACTAACTTTAACATATGAGGAAAGGGATTTAGGGGTGATTATTTCTGATGACTTAAAGGTAGGCAGACAATGTACTAGAGCAGCAGGAAATGCTAGCAGAATGCTTGGTTGTATAGGGAGAGGTATTAGCAGTAGAAAGAGGGAAGTGCTCATGCCATTGTACAGAACACTGGTGAGACCTCACTTGGAGTATTGTATGCAGTTCTGGAGACCGTATCAATATCAGAAGGATATTGTCATGACTGCTTGTGTGGTCCAGCAGGCAGAACTATGCAACATCTGCATAGAACAGAACGGAAAGGACAGAATGGAAACCAGTCCTTAGAATGGCCGGACTAATACGTTAAAGACAGAGAATGGTCAAGGGATAGCCGAGGTCAAGGAAGCCAGAAATACACAATACCGTAAAACAAGCCAAGTCAGGGAAACCAGAAATCAGAGTAGTCAGGAATAGCCAAGGTCAAAATACCGGGAATAGCAATAACAGGAATAGAAAACGCACTCTCAGGAACAAGGACAGGAAACCACGACAGGGCAAAAAACTGGAAAGCTTCAGGGATTTAAATATCCCTCAAAAAAAAAAAGAAAAAAATATTCCTCCTTAGACTGTAATTGGTCAGAGGGTGACCTCTGACCCCAGAACGTGTGTGTGCGCAGGAGTCATGACGTCACACGCACCTTCGTATGACCCTGGGGGCGGAGTCATTGATGGCCGCGACCGCATGTCGGTGCCATCTTTATTTCGGGCAGGCTGCCAGGAGGACCCGGTGGAGTGGCTCCCGACTCTCAGCTGAGCAGGTAAGCTCAGTATTTCAGCATGGTCGTGCCAGTCGGGCGCAATCGCACTTCGCAGCGAGCCGGGGGCAGTGACAAATATTGATACTTTGAAAAGAGTTCAGAGAAGGTTTACTAAACTAGTTCATGGATTGCAGGATAAAACTTACCAAGAAAGGTTAAAGGATCTTAACATGTATAGCTTGAAAGACGAGGTATATGATAGAAACATTTAAATACATAAAGGGAATCAATACAGTAAAGGAGGAGACTATATTTAAAAGAAGAAAAACTACCACACCAAGAGGACATAAATTAGAAATTGGCGGAACCAACCTCGCCACTGGCCACTGGAGGAGCCTGGTTTGGCCACTGGAGGAGCCCTGTATTAAAAGCCTTTTATTTTCCCTATGTGAGCAGTGATACCCCAGATAGCTAAGCCATGGAGCCCATTTGTATACCCAAAGACTATGGGAAAGACTTTGGCTCCATGGCGATTGAAGTGTATGCATGTGATCTGAGCGCTACCCGGTAGTAATGGGCGCTGAGATCTAAGCTATCTGGGAATAGGTAGAATGTGTATGTTCTATGTGATGAATGTGACAGTATGTAATTTTATGTCATTTACTGTCTTTTTACTGCCATGTGGTTAATGGAGTTTTGCCTCTGTCCTTGGAGATAATTGGATTACTTCCCAATTATCTCCAGGATAGAAGACTCTGTGGAACTGGTTTTGGGCAGAAAAACCATGCTTCATTTGGTCAAATAGGACTTTCCCTTAACTTTTTAATCCCTGAACCGATTGCCCTGATTTTTGAATATGTGTATATTTCAAGCATGCAAATTCTGAATATGTAATTTTTATGAAGATTGGACGTATATTTTTAAAGTTATAGCACATGTATAAAAACTGTATTGTTAACCCATTGTGTACCATAATTAGATCACAGGCAGAGGGGAGGATTTTATGTATAATAGCTGGGAGTGTTTTCTGTAATGTACGTGTGTTATTGGTTGTTCGGTAAAACCCTGTGGGCAGTACTATGTTTGTGGATTGCCAGGAGTGTAAGCTGATTGTATGCTTTTCCTGTTCAGCTGTTTACAGCATTCATATGCTTGAGAGCATTCACATGCTTCTTGGGTTCGGTGGTTGTGGTGTCTGCTGCAGTGCTTGGAGTCCTCAGGAAGCGCTAGGAGCATCCTTCAACGGAGGTAACCAGTCGGGGTGCTACGTGATCCGTTACAGCAATGGTTTAAAAATAACGCATGGAATAGCGTTCCAACTGAAGTAGTAGAGGTTAACACAGTGAGGAAGATTAATCATGCATGGGATAGGCATAAGGCTGTCCTAGACTTAAGATAAGGCCAAGGACTAATTAAAGTATTTCGAAAATTGGGCAGACTAGATGGGCCGAATGGTTCTTATCTGCCATCACATTCTATGTTTCTAGTGTAATGAATACAAAAGTGTATAGTTTCCTCTGCTGCCATTTCCCTCATGCTTCCCCTGGCATTGCAAGGGTTAAAAAAGTCTTTTGTACAAACCAGATTCCAGGGGTCAATTTGCCACATTTTGGCCAAAGTCCTGGGTCAGTGCTCCGCCTCCTACGATGTCATCCAACAGTGGGTGGGGGTAATAAGCAAGCGCAGTAAGGACTCAAAATACAATAGGATTGTATAATGTATAACAATAAGCACCTATGTAGGATAAAACTCACAGAATGTAGAGCCATAATACAGACCAGGACCGCCAGGCTCATTACAAGCCCGGCGGTCCTGTTGGGGACTGGGAACAAGCTCTTACTTACCTTTACAGCAGCTCCTGTCAGCTCCCTTCTCCTCCGTTCCGTTCAGCTCCAGTGTAAGTCTCGCGAGAGCCGCGGCCGTCAGAGTGTTGCCACAGTTTACCGTGGCAATGCTCCACGGGGCACACAGACCGCGAGATTTACACTGGGAGTTGAATGGCATGGACTAGAAGGGAGCTGATCGGAGCTGCTGTAAAGGTAAGTAACAGCTTGCTCCCAGCCCCCCTCCTGCACAGCCCATCCACTGGACCACCAGGGAATAATATAGCCCCCCTCCCTAGCCATGTATCAAGCAGGGAGGGGGGATGAAAAAAAGAAATAAAAATTTTAATAATATTATAATAAAATAAAAATGTAATAATATTTTAAAAAATAAAAATAAAATGTAATATTAAAATAATAAAAAAATAAATGATAAAAATGCCCACCTCCCACCAAGGTTACACACTCTGCATCACATACACAAACACACTCTGCATCATATACATAAACACACTACATCATATACACACACTGCATTCATACACACACACACTTCATTCATACACACACACTGCATTATACACACACTGCATTCATACACACACACTGCATTCATACACACACACTGCATTATATACACACACTGCATTCATACACACACACACACTGCATTATATACACACCCACACACTGCATTCATACACATACACTACATTATATACACACACACACTGCATTCATACACACACACTGCATTATATACACACACACACTGCATTCATACACACACACACTGCATTATATACATACACTGCATTCATACACACACACTGCATTATATACACACACTGCATTCATACACACACACACTGCATTATATACATACACTGCTTTCATACACACACACACTGCATTATATACACACACACACTGCATTCACACACACACACACACACACACTCTGCATTAGATACACACACTGTAAATAAATATTCAATTAATATAATTTTTGGGGGATCTCATTTTATTTAGAAATTTACCAGTAGCTGCTGCATTTCCCACCCTAGTCTTATCCGCGAGTCAATAAGTTTTCCCAGTTTTTTGGGGTAAAATTAGGCTCGACTTATATTCGGGTCAACTTATACTCGAGTATATACGGTACTTCATTTCTGGGGAAGAATTTAGAATTATTCTTAACATCTGTATGTTTAAAACATCAGATAACTTATTTTCTATAGTAAGTTTATGAGAATGTATGTTAAAAAAAAAAATTAGACTTAATTTATGGATAAATTTGATAAGATCAATAAAAGTATTAAAAGGATCATTAAAACATGTGTGGGCAAATTTTAAACCCCTTTTTAAAACATCTATTTGGTCCTTTGTTAATACAGTATCTGACAAATTGTAATACTCCTATGGAGTGGTTTTTCCTCTCTTCCTTTTCTCCAAGCAGTTGTCCAGCTCGAGTTCCTCTTCTCCCCGGGCCCACACTCGCTTTAAGGAGGTCTTGTGGGCCCGGTGAAGCGGGGTCCCGATCTATAAAAGTAATGGGACCAGAAGATGGAGATGGACTAGAGCTGTGATTTACATTTCTTGGGGAGTGGGTAGAGAGGATTTTGAACCTATTAATATGTTCAAATGTAGGTCTGGATTGGGTAGGTTTTGGTTTCCCAGATTTTACTTGTTTCTAGCCTAGTGAAGAAGTACCTGATTTGTTAGTTAAAAGGTTGTTATTGAAACTAGGTTCTCTTTTTTTTCTCCTGCATTCTTGGGCCTCTCCTTTTCAGTTCGTTAAATGGGATTCTATTTTTGTAATTATCCTGCATAGATTTAAAACATGGGGGAAATTTAGAAAATTTTAGAAAATCTGACTTGATTATGGGCATAGTTGTTCTTATCTCTAAGATATTTCATTTTCTTTATTCCCAGGCTATCTTGTTCAAATTTCTCATCATTATTTTTAACAAATTCTAAGGAATTTACCATTTCTGTGCAATTAGCAACAGGTTTCAATAGATCTTGAATTTCATAATTTTTTTTTATCTATTTCTTGTAAATTACATTTTCTTTGTTAAATGATGCTTTTCATCACTCGAAAAGAGAATGATTCAAGGGCTGAATTTCAGATTTCCATGAATTCTGAGCCATCCCTATCAAAAGTGTGAGTTTTAAAAGTCCTCTTGGAGTTATATTTTCCTCTAAATATTTCTCCAGAGTGCATAGCTCCCACTTAATTTCTGTTTCTTTCATTAATATTTTTTCTAGCTTATTGCAAGTTAAATCAAAATCATCCTCCTTAGTATGTTCAGATTCAGTTTCTACAAAGAATTTATGAATAACCTGATTTTGCCAGTTCTTACGGTTATCAAACACCATATTACAATAGTGCAGCCCACCCCGGGTGAGGGATAAGAGATACAGATAAAAAAGTATGGTGTGTAGGTGCTACCCAATAAAAAAAAAAGGTGTAGTGTAAGTGTACCCCACAACACTTAAAATATAAATAATATAGGGGGCGGAGCTAAACCGTTGAGCCGGCCAGACGCACTTTATGAGAGCTCCAGACAATCCTAATTAATAAAAGGGGATTTGTCACTACAAATCAGAGCTAATGACCCGGATCACTCCCAACACCTCGATGACCCACAGGCAGCTGATATTCCCACCGGATTGGGGAAGAATTACGGGACTCGGCACTCCTTGACACAGTCAGAACTGAGGCCTACTATGCACTGGCGGGAAGGAGCTGGCACCTCCCATTGCTCTTAGACTCTCAGGAGACCACCAGAGTTTCTCCAACACCCCCTCCCCCTTACCAGTGAGGGAAATCATGGTATCCTTTGAGGCTACAATGGGACGCAAGCACAAGAAGCCTTACCATATAGAGAGGCCTGCACTCCCGGACATTAGGCTGTCATTTGAAAGACCAGCCCAGCAGTTACCTCCCAGAGTCTGTGCCCCAGAGTGAGTCAGAAGCCTCAGATGACTCACAGGATGAAGGAGAACTCAGCACATCGCCCCCTTCTGGTAGAGTATATCATAACACAGATTCTGATGATGATTACTCTCCTTCTACAAAGGGGAACATCAAGAGACTGCTTGTGGATCTTAGACAGGTCTGGAAGGCAGACTTACAAGAGGCTCAAGCCAAAATAGGCATCCTACACCAGAAGGTGTCTGCTGTGGAGGAGAGGGAGAAGACAAAAGACTGTGAATTACAGAACACAAAACATCAAATAGAGGGCCCTAGCATACAGATCAAGCAGCTGCACAAGATGGTGACGTCCCTGGAATATAGCTTGGTGCTACTTCTAAGTGCTGTTTCTAAGTGTGTAGTTGGAGATAGTCTGGAGAGTTTTACAGAAGCTTCAACTGTCTAAGAGTTGTGCTAAGAGCTTTCTTTTCTACTGTTACAGGTAAGATTCATCTGTAGGAAAAGGTTACTGATTGCACAAGGTTTGAATTCCTGTTGGTAATTATAAGGCATTTGATTTGATTAAGCTAGTTACTTGCTATTGATTGCTGGTTAATTAGCTATTGTTTGCAAATAAGCAGAGGCCTACCCAGGTGTTAAACATTCCTAGTGGGTGGTGATTTTAGGAGTTATATAAGGCTTGTCTAATATAGCTTGGTGCTACTTCTAAGTGCTGTTTCTAAGTTTGTAGTTGGAGATATTCTGGAGAGAAACTGGAGGTAATCTGAGGTATTCAGGAGGATAAATACAATGTTAAGATTTGTTAGATTTAAATTATTCTCCTAATTGGAATGGCAGACTTAGTTCAGTGTAACAATTGCTATGCATTTGTTTCACGTTCCACTTTTTGGAGGTTTGGTTGTTGTCTAATCTGTAGACAGTTCTCTATCTTGCGGCAGGAGATTGTATTTTTGAAGTCTGAGATTTGTAAATTATCTGGTGAACAAACTCAGACTGGAACTGCTGCAAAGCCACTGCCGCAGAGACAAACTAGGAAAGGCAGATGGATTACTGTAGGATCTGGTAGACTTAGAGTTGTGGATAAAAGGCATTTTGCACAGTCTGTTGCTCTTCATAATTCATTTTCTGCACTTTCAGAGTGTAATGGTGTTGTGGAGAGAGGCACTGAGGCTAGTGGTGTTGTGGAGAGAGGCACTAAGATTAGTGGTATTGTGGAGAGAGGCACTGAGGCTAGTGGTGTTGTGGAGAGAGGCACTGAAGCTAGTGGTGTTGTGGAGACCGGCTTGGAGACTATGGTGAGGCCTAATAGAAAGCAGTTGTTGTTGGGGGATTCTATTATAAGAGGTGTGGAGATGGACAATGGTGGTCTTTTGAGGTGTCTTCCCGGAGCTACTGCTCACAGAGACAAGAGACGTATCTGTAATATTGTTAAGCAAGCAAAGTAGGAAGGGGAATTGGATGTACTTGTCCATCTAGGGACAAATGACTTGGCTTGCAATGAGGTTTCAGAGGTTAAGGAAGATTTTAGTGTTTTTGCCAATGATATACAGTAGGTTGCTTCCACACTGTCATTCTCTGAAGTTCTGCCTGTGCATAACACTCAGAACGACAGGCGGTTGCGTATTAGGGACTTTAATTTGTGGCTTGGTGAATGGTGTCGGGAGCAAGGATTTGGCTTTATTTCTCATGGTAGCTCTGTTTCAAATGGAGATAAGCTGTACAAAAAAGATGGTTTGCATCTTTCTCAAAAGGGAACAAATGTTCTCAGTGAGCAGTTCAGAGGTTTTGCTAGGATGTATTTAAACTAGGAGGGGGGGGGCAAAAGGGTGATAAAACATCAATCCAATTGTCCCCCAAAACAAGGACAGAAGGTGCCTGTAGCAAGTGTGTTAAAAAATGATAAGCTTAGAGTCATGTCTACAAATGCTCGCAGTTTAGGGAATAAGATCCATGAACTTGTGGCAATAATGGCAACTGATAGTGTAGATTTAGTCGCTGTTACTGAGACATGGTACAATGAGAAAAATGACTGGGACATAGCAATACCAGGGTACTCTTTATATAGGAAAGATAGGGAAGGCAAGAAAGGGGGAGGGGTGGCCTTGTATGTGAAGGATAGCATAAAATCTAGCCTAATAAAAGTTAGTGAGGCAAACACAGAGTCCGTTTGGGCTACGTTAGAATTTGGTAATCACACAGTAACTCGTGTAGGTGTGATTTATAGGCCCCCAGGACAAATTGAAGAGTTAGATAATCTACTAGTTGAGGAAATAGCTAAAATGACAATGAAGGGGGAAGTTATCATCATGGGTGACTTTAATCTTTCTGATGTAAATTGGAAAACAAAATTAGCTACTTGTGCCAGGAGCACACATATTCTAAACTCCCTACTGGGATTGTCTCTAAAACAAGTTGTTGAGGAGCCAACTCGTAAAGAGGCCATACTAGATTTAGTGTTAACAAATGGAGATTTGGTATCAGATATTACTGTAGGTGAAAGTTTAGGATCCAGTGATCATCAGTCAGTGTGGTTTAATATAAGAACAGTGACTGAGTCACACCACACAAAAACAAAAGTTTTAGACTTTAGAAAAACAGACTTTTCTAAAATTAGAATATGGGTAGAGGAGTCATTACCAGACTGGAGCAATTTAAATGGAGTCCAAGAGAAATGGGATTATTTAAAAGTTGCACTATTAAAGGCAACAGAAAATTGCATTAGGCTTGTCAGTAAAAGCAAAAAATTCAAGAAACCACTGTGGTACTCCGCAGATGTGGCCAAAATAGTTAAAAACAAAAAGTTAGCATTTAGGAATTATAAAAAAACCCAGAGTGAGGAAGACAAAATGATCTATAAGATTAGGCAGAAAGAGGCTAAGCAAGTTATAAGAGCTTCCAAATCACACACAGAAGAGAAAATAGCACAGTCAGTAAAAAAAGGGGATAAAACATTTTTTAGATACATAAATGAGAAAAGAAAAGTAAAACAAGGATTAGTTAGATTAAAAACAAAAGAAGGAAGGTATGTAGAAGAGGATAAAGGTCAGGCTGACTGCCTCAATGAATATTTTTGTTCTGTATTTACAGAAGAAAATGAAGGAAAGGGACCTCAGTTGAGAAAAAGGATAAATGAGTCATTTATTACACGTGAGTTTACAGAGGAAGAGGTTCTATTTCAACTGTCAAAAGTAAAGACAAATAAGTCAATGGGACCTGATGGAATACACCCAAAGCTATTAAAAGAGCTTAGTGGTGTACTAGCAAAACCATTAACAGATTTATTTAACCAATCATTGTTAACAGGAGTAGTCCCAGAAGATTGGAAGTTAGCGAATGTTGTGCCCATTTACAAGAAAGGTAATAGGGAGGAGTCGGGCAACTATAGGCCAGTAAGCCTTACTTCAGTAGTGGGGAAAGTGATGGAAACCATGTTAAAGGATAGGATTGTTGAACATCTAAAAACACATGGATTTCAAGATCAGAGACAACATGGGTTTACTTCAGGGAGATCATGCCAAACTAATCTTATTGATTTTTTTGATTGGGTAACTAAAATTATAGATCAGGGTGGTGCAGTAGACATTGCTTACCTAGATTTCAGTAAGGCTTTTGACACTGTTGCACATAGAAGGCTTATCAATAAACTGCAATCTTTAAGTTTGGATTCCAATATTGTTGAATGGGTAAGGCAGTGGCTGAGTGACAGGCAACAGAGGGTTGTAGTTAATGGAATATATTCGAAGCTTGGACTTGTCACCAGTGGGGTACCTCAGGGATCTGTACTTGGACCCATTCTCTTTAATATTTTTATTAGTGATATTGCAGAAGGTCTTGATGGTAAGGTATGTCTTATTGCTGATGATACTAAGATATGTAACAGGGTTGATGTTCCAGGAGGGATAAGCCAAATGACAAATGATTTAGGTAAACTAGAAAAATGGTCAGAATTGTGGCAACTGACATTTAATGTGGATAAGTGCAGGATAATGCATCTTGGACGTAAAAACCCAAGGGCAGAGTACAGAATATTTGATAGAGTCCTAACCTCAACATATGAGGAAAGGGATTTAGGGGTGATTATTTCTGATGACTTAAAGGTAGGCAGACAATGTAATAGAGCAGCAGGAAATGCTAGCAGAATGCTTGGTTGTATAGGGAGAGGTATTAGCAGTAGAAAGAGGGAAGTGCTCATGCCATTGTACAGAACACTGGTGAGACCTCACTTGGAGTATTGTACACAGTACTGGAGACCGTATCTTCAGAAGGATATTGATACCTTAGAGAGGGTTCAGAGAAGGGCTACTAAACTGGTTCATGGATTGCGGGATAAAACTTACCAGGAAAGGTTAAAGGATCTTAACATGTATAGCTTGGAGGAAAGACGAGACAGGGAGGATATGATAGAAACATTTAAATACATAAAGGGAATCAACACAGTAAAGGAGGAGACTATATTTAAAAGAAGAAAAACTACCACAACAAGAGGACATAGTCTTAAATTAGAGGGACAAAGGTTTAAAAATAATATCAGGAAGTATTACTTTACTGAGAGGGTAGTGGATGCATGGAATAGCCTTCCAGCTGAAGTGGTAGAGGTTAACACAGTAAAGGAGTTTAAGCATGCGTGGGATAGGCATTAGGCTATCCTAACTATAAGATAAGGCCAGGGACTAATGAAAGTATTTAGAAAATTGGGCAGACTAGATGGGCCGAATGGTTCTTATCTGCCGTCACATTCTATGTTTCTATGTTTCTATGTTTCTATGAATCCCGCCACCGCTGTCAGAACATATGCCTTCGAGGTATTCCTGAAGAGATCAGCGGAGGCACAGTCTTGCCATTTGTCAAAAGAATGGTTGCATTTATGGGTATAGAATGCGACACAGATACTCCAGTTATTCTGTCCTCTTTTAGAGTAAGAAAATCAGCTGCTGCACTGGCAGGAGCTCCCAGAGACGTTATTGCAACTACAAGGGACTGTCAGGATTTCTGTAGATGCCCAACACGCAGAACTTAAGTAGATGTAAAGCAAATACCTAAGACGTATTACCGGATCTTAGAATGGCCGGATTTAACATAAAAAGGCAAAAGACAAAAGAAAGGGAAAAGCCAAGACAAAGGTATAACGCAAACGATGAACAAGCCAAAGGTTGAGGAATGGAGATATCAGAATAGTCAGGAGCCAAACAAAAAGTCAAGGAATACAGAGATTGGATAGTCAATAAGGGAAGCCAAGGTCAGATACACAAGAAATCAATACAAGGAATGCGCTCTCAGGTAACCAACTGGAAACCACGACAGGGCACAGAGAAATGGACAAACTAGGTTTAAATAGCTAAAGGCATTTCCTGATAGGCTGTAGGGAAACATGTGATCAAGCTTGTGTGTAACACACCCAAATTAAATTAATTGATCTGGCTCTTTAAGAGTTAAACAGGAAACCCTTTATTATTCACAGCAGCAGTGGGCGGCGCCCTTAATGATACAGAGCCAGCCGCTGAGAGAGGAGAGGTCACCTCTGATGAGTGTTTGGCAGTATTCCCCTTAGTTTGTGTGAATATCACTGTAGCAATACGCGGCGTGACAGGGACATTGCAGTGAGAACCGCTATAATGGCCAAATCTAGATCTTTGGGGACGGTGAGCTTTGAGAGCCACAATGTGTCTATCTACAGTGACATCCCGTTCTCTTCCCTCGCAGAACGCAGGCAGTTGGCACTAACCGCCAGAATACTTAGGGGTCATTCAATTAAGTATCGTTGGAATGCAGAAGGATCTCTTGCAGTCACTCAGGGCGGTGTGACAGTACCCCCTCCCCGAAAACCGCCCACCGGACGGGAAGGGGCCGGCTTATTGGGAAACCGGGCATGAAAAGCGCGCAGCAAGCAAGCAGCATGAACGTCAAGGGCAGGAACCCACGAATGCTCCTCCGGACCATAACCCTTCCAATGGATTAAATGATGCAACACACCCCATGACCATCTGGAGTCTACAATAGCCTGGATCTCATACTCCTCCTGGCCATGAACTGACAGAGGCAAAGGATGGAATGAGCGCCTAGTGTAGCGATTGCACAACAAAGATTTAAGCAGGGATACATGAAACAC